CACACACACACACACACACACACACACACACACACACACACACACACGGGAGAGAGGAAGAATGAGAAAAAATGAGACTGGCCCTCACACAGCCCAGGCCTGTCTAGAACTCACTGTGTAGCTGACACTGGCTTTGTGCTTCTCATATGCCTGCCTCCACACCTAAGTACTGGTGTTATGGGTAAGTACCTCCTTGCAGGGCAAGGACTTTCTTAAATAGAACTTACTTTTTCCCCTAAAGCACATGGCAATGAGTATAGTAAGCTTATTTCACAATCTGATTTGGGCAAAGGCAGTAGCAATTATACCCTGCGTGGTATTTTCACTATCATTACAACTGCTAAGATGCTAAAAAAAAAAAAGTCAAATGATGCCTTAGTATTATTATAAAAGTAGTCTGGACCACTGGCTTCCTGCAAGGTTATTCGTGTGGTACAGGAGTCATAAAGCACACTTCTGAACAACTGTCCTATGTAAATCACTGGCTAGTGGGAGTTCATTCTTGCCTTACTAGCCATGCTATCACTCGTCCGTAAGCTCAGTACCTAGGAAATGAAAACAGGATCAGGAGTTGAAGGTCAGCTTGGACTACAGGAGTTTCTGGCTAAAACAAGAAAAAGAGGTTTCTTTTTCTAAACTTTGATTGGCATTACATCATTTCACCACCGCTAGAAAACAAAAAGATTAAAAAGTTGCTATTCAATTTAGAAGTGATGCTTTTTAGGAGAGAATATGAAAACTCAAAGACTGGTAGGGGTTCCCAGAGAGGAATACTTCCATGTGCCCTGCCCAGTGTTCCATTTAAACATTTTATTATTGTTGTTTGTGTATGATGGGCAGAGAACGTACTCCACTGCGTGCGTACAGAGGTCAGAGGACAACTTAAAGTCAGTATCAGTTCTCCTGCCAAGGGCTCTGGGGGCAGGACTCAGTCATCAGCTTTTGTAGAAAGCACTTTTACCTGCTAAGCCATCTTACAAGCCCAGTCTAGTGGCTTTTTATGTGTTGTAGAGGAATTGGATTGAGACTGAGACAGACCTTTTTGGAATTGCTCAGTTTTGAGCTCATCAGAGGCTATACCTACCCTTTACAGGTTTTCATGACACAACCAGAGAAATGGCCATGCCTTACTCACCCACTAGTCAGGTGCCGTAGAACTAGCCGTTCGTGGAGGGATGACTGACTCAGGATTTCCATCAAGCAACAATTTTACAACTAGGTATCCATGTACCTTGCCTAGAAATCACAGTGCATGTTTTGAACTGGGTTCAAAAATTTTTAATTTTTTTTCTACCACTGGATCTGGTGATGAAAAACTGTAATCCCAGTTACCTGGGAAGCCGAGGCAAGAAGATCACAAATTAGCCTAGCTGAGCTGTGGAGTGAGTTTTGAGCCAACCTGGGCAATTTAGCTAGATCCTATCTAAAAAAAAAAAACAAAAGGGGGAATGTCAGGTGTGGTTGGTGACGCTAGCCTGCAGTCCCAGCACTTGGGATAGGTGGAGTCAAGGTCAGGCTGGAGAGATGGCTCAGTGGTTAAGAGCACTGTCTGCTCTTCCAAAGGACCCAGGTTCAATTCCCAGCACCCACATGGCAGCTCACAACTGTCTGTAATGCCAGTTTCCAAGGAATCTGATACATTCATACTAATGCACATAAAATAAAATTAAATAAATTAAAAAAAAAAAAAGTTCAAGGTCATCCTTAGCTACTAACATACTTGAGGTCAGTGGAAGCTATGTGACCTCTTGTCTCCCAAACAAAAACAAGTTGTAAACACATTTCACTTTATGTAGATGGTACATCTATATATTAGCATTTGGGAGATAGAGGAAGCAAGATTTTTAGTTCCCTGCTTGCGTGGTCTAGTAATAAGTTCCAGGCCAGACTGGACTGTATGGCAAAACCATGTCTTAGAGAAAACAAACAAAAGCAAGAAAATATTTTACAGACAACTGTTTCCCTTGTGTTGGAATTGCAGCTACCTGGAAACTTTTGTTTCTATGTATAAAGATGTCTCTGGTGGACTTGGGGAAGAGGCTGCTAGAAGCTGCAAGAAAAGGCCAAGATGATGAAGTGAGAACGCTGATGGCAAACGGGGCTCCATTCACTACAGACTGGGTAAGCTTAGCAGAAGGCCCCAGTGACTTCCAGAGTGTGTCTTAACCAGGCTCCTAAGGCTAAACAGGCATGTTTTTTTCTTCACTGTTTCTGTGTCATTTCTCCTACAAGAATTATTTGTTTCACCTGAATATATAGTTTCCCTTTTTAGTTTTCCAGTTTGAAAGTTTTCAGTGAATATATAGGTAGTAATTGTTTCATACTTGGAATTTTTCCCTCTTATTTTATTTTTGATATTTTTATTTGCAGGTATGATGTGCATGCTTTTAGTCCTAGAACTTGGGAGGCAGAAGCAGGAAGACTTCTGTGAATTTGAGGCCAGCGTGGTCTGTATGGCAAGCACCTAGACAGCCAAAGCTATATAATGAGACCCTATCTCAAGAAATAAACAAAGGAAAACCTCCCCAAAACCATCCTCTGACCTCTACACATATACACCTGTGTGTGAATGCACAGACAAATATATGCAAATAAATATACTGACACCAGGCATGGGAGTATACATCTTTAATTCCAGCACTGGAGAGGTAGAGGCAGGCAGATTTCTGTGAGTTTGAGACCAGCCTGGTCTGCAAAGTGAGTCCAAGACTACCAGGGCTACACAGAGAAGCCCTATCTTGAAAAACAAAAACAAAACAAAACAAAAAAAAGGTTTAATATAATGAGCCTGTCAACCAACTTGGAGACCAAAGAGTTTCAGAAGGTAGCAGTCACAGATTTTCTTGTTTTGTTTTTTTTGGTTTTTTTGTTTTGTTTATTGTTGTTGGGGGGGGGCTGTCAAGACAGGGTTTCTCTGTGTAACCTTGGCTGTCCTGGAACTCATTCTGTAGACCATGGTGCTGCCCTCGAACTCAGAGATTGGACTGCCTCTGCCTCCTGAGTGCTGGGATTAAAGTTGTGTGCTATCACCACCTGCCTTTCACAGATGTAGGCATAAGGTTTTTGTGTAATTCAAATACTGATTTCTGGGCTGGAGAGATGGATCAGAGGTTATAGAGCACTGGCTCTTCTTCCACAGGTGCTGAGTTCAATTCCCTGCAACCACAGTTATCATCTGTAGTGAGATCTGGTGCCCTCTTGTGTGCATGTACACATGCAGGCATAACACTGTATAAACAATAAATAAATAAATATTTTTTTAAAAATACTAATTTCTCTATCCCTCTATATCTGGTTGCAATCCTTGTTCTGAGAATCTCCTGTCTCAGTATTGTATAAACACTGCTCCCCAATTGTCCCCTGATTTGCCAGTAAAGCAATTTATAGTCAATCACTGAGCAGGGGAGAGAATAGGGCTGGTCTTTCTGCCATCCAAGAGAAGAGGAATTAGAGGAGGAAGAGGGGGATTCAGCCACTGGCAGATGTCCAGGAGGGACCAAGAGAGAGAGAGAGCTCAGCAAGGAAAGGTACAAAGTGAAAGTATCTCTAGGGTGTATGCTGGGAGGAAACCAGATTAGATTAGAGGGTTAAGAATAGATTAATAACTGCTCAGTTCTTTCGTTGTGAAGCTTGTTAAAACAGTCTCAATTATTTGTGTGCTAGCCAGGTTAAGAGAGAAACTGAGAAACACAGTTTTATAAAAATGACTGACATACACAGATTTTCTAAATATTGACTGATGTTAACAGTTAACAGGTTTAATGGAGTGATGACTATTGTGGCATAAATGTTTTATAACTTCAGGGTCCAACTGGTTCATTTATTTGTTTTGTTTGTTTTGAGGCAGTGTCTCTCAATAAAGCCCTGGCTGTCCTGGCCTCCATCTCATAGAAATCAGCCTACCTCTGCCTCCCAAGGGCTGAGACTAAAGGAATGTGCCACTATACTCAGCTCAGATACTCTTTTTGATACTAAAACAAGAAAACTATCCTATAAGCCATGCTTAAAATCCTGTCCTTTAGTGAGTCTTACTCAGTAACTCTACCTCACTTAAAGTCATTATACTTCATATTTAATTTACAGCCCTTCACTTGTCCATTAACATAGTAATTTCATTTATTTTTATTGTTTTTAATGATGTATATATGTATATATGAGTTTGTATGGGGGTATGTGCATGTGAGTACAGGTGCCCTTAGAATCTAGGGGTTGGGTCACCCACCGCTGAATAACAGCTGTGAATCACCAACATGGATGCTGGGATTGAAGTCAGAGCTCTTACCCTCTGAGTTCTTTCCAGCCCCTGTAGATTAATTTTTAAATTCTATAATTTTCAGTCTTCTCTGCTCAGTAAGATTCTTTCTCCAACGATGACTCCTTTAGATCCATTTCTTGTTCATACATCTCTCCACTCTCCGCACAGTGGACTCAGTGAGTACTCTTTTTTTCCACAGCTTGGAACATCACCTCTTCACCTTGCAGCCCAGCATGGTCATTATTCCACAGCAGAAGTGCTCCTCCGAGCAGGTGTGAGCAGGGATGCCCGGACCAAAGTGGACAGAACCCCTTTGCACATGGCTGCAGCCGATGGACACACACACATCGTGGAGCTGCTTGTTAGGGTAAAGGGAGAGGAGTGGTGGAGTCTGGCGCTAGGGCATGCACCTGTAGTCCCAGACTTGGGAGGCAGAGGCAGGCGGATCTCGGAGTTCCAGGTCAGCCAGAGCTACACAGAGAAACCCTGTCTTTAAAAAAAAAAGAAAGGGTGGGCGATAGTGATGGGACTACGCTGTAAAGAGACATTCGCCTCCCCTTTTGCCTCCCTCTCATGGTTTCTTAAGTAATGGGAGGAAAGTGAGCTGGAAAGACTTAAGTGATCATTGATTTGCATCTCTTTATTTATTATTAATTTATGCATGAAAACCGTGTTTCAAGAGTCATATAGATGATTTTGTTTTCTATTTTTTTTTTAAAGCTAAACAGATTTTATTGATTTTTCTTCATTCTTTTTCTGTAGGTGTTCTCTGTACTTATGCCTATTTTTTTTCAGGCCCTACTCAGCTTTCTGCTAATAAATGCAACAAAATCTGTTCCTCCCCCCTTCCTCGACCATCTGTGAGAATTTCCAGTGATGTCCTTAGCAGACCCACTCATTGAAAGCATAATGTCTCAGCATTCAGGAGGACTTGAGAAATGCTTTTCCCTTTGATATTCCTTAAGTGAGAACTAAAGTTAAATATCTCTATGTAGATATTTTTGGTAATTGGCTCTTTCGCTTGAGTCCTGGCAACCAGCACCTATTGAAAAGTTGCTCTTTTGTAACAGAACGGTGCGGATGTGAACGCCAAGGACATGCTGAAGATGACAGCTTTGCACTGGGCCACGGAGCACCACCACCGCGATGTCGTTGAGTTGCTCATCAAATATGGAGCTGATGTCCATGCATTTAGCAAATTTGATAAATCTGCCTTTGACATAGCACTGGAGAAAAACAATACTGAGATTCTGGTCATCCTTCAGGTATGTTCTTTTATAGTCCCCAAAGTACACGTCAATTTGTAGATTACTTTGAGGGAGCTGAATCCAAACAATTCCCGCATTTCATCAAAATTGTATTTTTAGGACATCTCAGTCATGTGGCTCTGTACCAGCATCTCTCTCTTTCCAGCTGAGAGGCCTCAGGTAGCACACGGTGATCTCAGAATTTGAATACAGCTAAAATTGACCTTTTTCGTTAATGTTTTTTGTTTGTTTGTTTCCAGACAGGGTTCCTCTGTGTAGCACTGGCTGTCCTGGACTTGCTTTGTAGTACGGGCTGGCCTCAAACTCACAGAGATCTGCCTGCCTCTGCCTCCCTGCGTGCTGGGATCACAGGTGTGCACCACCACACCTGGCTGAAAATGGCTCTTGACCCTCCTGTCTCTGCCTCATGTACACTGGAATTATAGATATGTACTACCTTGCCATTGTTTTAAGACAGTCTTACTATGAAGCCAAAACTAGCCTCTCCACCAGGCCTGCACTTAGCTTTTCTTTTTGGTTTTGTTTTAATAGGATCATTCATGGTGATTAGAGAACAAGGTTGTGGAAATAGTCAGTGCTGATATTGCAGAGCAGAACTCCAGAGATATTTTTTCTGGTTCTAAGAGTTGCCTAATTTATGAATTCCTTCCTTTTTTTTTTTTCTTTCTTTCTCTCTCTCTTTTTCCTTTTTTTTTTTTCTTTCTTTCTCTCTCTCTCTCTCTTTTTTTTTTTTCTTCTATAAATGGGTTAAATTGAAAGGAAAACAATAGAGCCAGAACATTTGTTTTTGACTGTCCATTGTTTTTCTCTCCATTAATGTTTCCATTTCTAGCTAAACTAGACTTGGGGCAATCTTAAAAGTCAGGGACTGACACAGTGGTACACTCCTCTGACACTAACTCTCAGTAGGGAGAGACAGGTGGATTTCTGAGTTTGACTTCAAGGCCATCCTAGTCTATATAAGCAAGTTCCAGTCCAATCACCGATACTTAGTGAGACTGTGTCTCAAAAAAAATTTTTTTTTTACCAGTCTTAGAAGGAACCAGGTTCCGTTCCCAGCACCCACATATGGTGGTTCACAATTGCCCAGGGGATCTCATGTCCGCTTCTGCCTTCAGTGGCATCGAGAATCATACAGGCACACACATGTATGCACACACATTAAAAACATTTTTTTAATAAGAAAAAAGTTAGAACCAGGTGTGGTGGTGCACGCTTGTAATCCCAGCACTTGGGGAGGCTGGGGCATATGGATCTCTGTGAATTCAAGGTCTATAAAGCCAGCCCAGGACCACTGAGGCTACACAGAGAAACCTTGTCTTGAAAAACCAAAAAAAAAAAAAGAGAGAGAGAGAAAGAGAGAGAGAAAGAAAGTAAGTTACTCTCGGGGGCTGGAGAGATGGCTCAGAGGTTAAGAGCACTGGATGCTCTTCCAGAGATCCTGAGTTCAATTCCCAGTAACTGCATGGTAGCTCACAACCATCTATAATGAGATCTGGTGCCCTTTTCTGGTGTGCAAGTGTACATGCAGACAGAACATTGTATACATAATAAATAAATCTTAAAAAAAAAAGTTTTTGTCCAGTGCTAGGAGATGCTTAGTCAGGAAAATGCTTGTCTTGTAAACATGAGTTGCTGAGTTTGATCCCAGAATCCAGCTGTGGGCCAGTGAGGTGGTTCAGTGGGTAAAGGCTCTTGCTGCTGATTTGACAACTTGAGCTTAATCTCCGGGACTCGTGCAAGGATAAAATCAAGTCCTGCAGGCATAGCCTTGACCTGCTCTTGTATGACAGACTTCCTGAGGAGACACAGCACACTTTATTTACTTACTTCAAAAAGGAAGCCTATGACAGTCCAGAGTAGCAGTTGTACCAAAAGCCAGTGTGGCAAGCCAATGAGTTTCTGTTGGGGCTACTGACAGATGTGTGGGTGAGGGGTGACGTAAAAGGAGCAGGATAACCCAGAAGCAGCTCCATCCGCAGAAAAGCCACCCAACAGGGAAAGCGCAGCCCTGGAGCAGCACCCAGCTTTTTGGGAGCTCCACACTCCAGTCATCTTCCTTTCTGTAGCTGGCTCTTCCTCCCTTTACAAAATCTTCCCACACATGTTCCTCTCTGATACGCAGCCTTGGCTCTTCTCTTGTTTGCAGCAGAGGCTGTTCAGCCTCTCCTTCCTTTCTGGAGCACATGTTCTAGTTTAGAGGGAATGTTGTAATTCATGCACATGTGTGCCCCGGCACACTAGTGCACAAATGTACGCACATAACAAATAAATTGTAATTAAAAACATTTTAAGCCAGCTGTGGAGACATGTGCTTATAATCTCAGAGTTGGAAAAGCAGAGACAGATAGCTCCCTGGTGCTTACTCGACACCCAGTCCTACCTACTTGATGAACTCCAGACAGTGAGAGACGCTGTCTCAAAAAAATAAAGTAGAGGCTGGGCACAGTGGCACACATGTTTAATCCCAGCACTCAGGAGGCAGAGGCAGGTGGCTCTCTGTGAGTTCGAGGCCAGCCTGTTCTATGAATTGAGTCTAGGACAGCCTGGTCTACACAGAGAAACCCTGTCTCCAAAAAGCAACAAAAACAAAACGGTAGATAGTATCTGAAGAATAGTACTCAAGAGTGCTCTCTGGCCATACACGCACACAAATGCACCCTTCTTCCCACACATCCACACAAAGTCATATCCGTGCAAGGTACTTAGATAATAAGCCCACAATTTGGAGGTAGAAGTAGAAGTTAAACTCAATGGGTGGTGGTGGCACACCTTTAATGCCAGCACTTAGGGGTCAGGGAATTCTAGACTGGCCCAGTCTATGATAATGAGCCCCCAAACATCCAGAGCCACAAAGAAAGATCCGGTCTGAAATAAAAATTGAATAAATATAAGTGTGAAAAGATTTAATTGGGTCAGTGAAATGGCTCAGGTAAAGGTACCTGCCAAAGCTAATGACCAGAGTTGATTCCCACATTGTAGAAGAGAGAAAACCAACCCTTGCCAATTGTTTTCTGGCTTCTACACACATAACCCCCACCACACACACACAAAGAAATGTAATTTTAAAACATTTTAAGTAGTATTCTGTTTTCAGGAAAAAAATTATTCTATGCTATCAAAAGTACAAGCATGTGAAACAACATGGAATGTTTAAAGAAAAAAAGTAGCTATGTCTTCAGAATGAGCAGCAGACATGGAGTTTGGGGACGGCAGGTGTTTGGGAGTTAGGCTGAATCTGTATGTGAGCTTGCATGGCCGCTGACATGTGACTAGTGACATGGTAGTTTTTTTATGGACAGTGGGAACATAGAAGCTTTCTGTTTTGTTTTGTATGTTTTTAAGACTAGATCTCTATATATGTAGTCCTGGTTTTACTGGAAGTAGTTTTGTAGACCAGGCTGTCCTTAAATTTACAGGGATCCACCTGCCTCTACCTTTTGAGTGCTGGGATTAAAGCTGTGTACCACCACCCCAGGCTGAAGGTTTTGTGTTTTTGTTGTTGTTGTTCAGTGGGGGGTTGAAAGATGATCTTGCTATGTGGCTCTGCTTCATCTGGTACTTGCTGGCCACAAACTCAAGGTGATCCTCTTGTCTCAGTTTCTGAAATGCTGGGATTACAGTTTTGAACCAATACATCTGGATTTAGAAACTTAAATCCAGTGATTGTTTTAAAAAGGTATTCAGACATGGTGTATACATTGGATGGAGAAGACAATGCTAAATAGCATATGATTGCTTTCATCAGGCTAGGCAAGCCTACCCATGAGTGCTTCCACTAAAAAATTTGCTAGAGGGGAGAAATAGCAGATTGAAGAAAGAATTTAACAGTATCCGGAAAATGAATAATCTGTTTCAATTGAAGTTTTTAGTCAAGGGGATAATTACATATGAAAAATAGCTGCTTGTGCATTTTCAGTTTTTGTTTATTTTTCATGGCAGCTGGTTTTGCAAAGACTTTCAGTTATTGTTCAAAGTCCTTTCATAACTGGACTTTTTTGGTAGTTAATATATTTGTAGAAAACTTCTGAAAGTAAAAATAAAAGATAAGCATCTTTTCACCAAATTGAGCAGACATCCTTGGAAGCAAGAGTGTAGCATATGGAACTACACTTCAAAATCTGCTACTCATTTATCTGCTTGTTATATGTTCTCTTAGGAATTTCTTCAGTGGCAGAATGGAACATGTTGTAGGATAAGAGTCTAGAGAGTATTTTTCTCCTCAGGGATCTCCTGCCAGCATCTTGTCTTGTGGGTAGCTGATCACAGAATATTAGTGCTACAAATTACTTTTTAGACTGTACAGAGCAGTTCCTTCCCTTAAATTGTTTTTTTAAGTTAAAGAATGCCGAGAGCTTGAGTGAAGGATGTCAAAGGCTTTGTGAGTAATACGCCTTTTCTTTCTCAGGTGGAAACAAGCTTGAAAAAGCAAGCTAACATGCGTGGCTTCAGTCTGAGAAGAGCTGTAGTCTTAATGAGAACCCTTAGCTCCCTGGGCACTGTATGCCAGACTAGCTGTGCTTGATGGAGCTGGGAGAGGGAGGGGCTGTGTGTCCAGTGACTGTATGACTAAAGGTAAATGTGCTGACTTTGAAATGACCTGCTTTGTTTGGTAGGAAGCAATGCAGAATCAGGTGAACGCTAACCCCGAGAGAGTCAACCCAGTGACTAACCCTATGACTGTGGCTGCTCCACTCATCTTCACCTCTGGAGAAGTCGTTAACCTCGCTAGCTTTGTTTCTTCAGCCAACACCAAAGCAACCTCAGGTAACATTCTGATAATGAGGCATCTATTTCAGGCTTAAAAATGAGCAGAATCCCAAGTTTTCTAGATATGAGTGGATTTCTGATACCCACTCTTATAAAAATGCTGGGATTAAAGCTCTGAGTAAAATACTTGCTGCATGTGTAAAGGTTGGGCTCCATCTCCAACAGACAGAAAAGTAGAAGTAAAAACATTCCTCAAACTTTTTTATTGTTGTTTTGTTTCTAGACAGGGTTTCTCTGTGTAGCCTTGGCTTTGTAGACCAGGCTGGCCTTGAACTCACATTTGACACCTTTTGCTTTTTTGGGAGAGCAAGGGAAGGGGTAGTGCTGAGACGAAGTCTTGTAGCCTAGGTTGGCCTTGAATTTGTAATCCCTCTGCCTCCCCCTTCCCAGTGACAGGTCTGAGCCACCCACAGGGCCTGAGACCTACATGTTTTAAACTCTTAAAATGGAGCAAATGAGTTTATTTTTACCCTTTCCTTTTATAAATATGTGTTATATGATGGAGGAACTTGCCTCCTCAAATAAATTCCCAATTCTTAACATATTTTTTCTGTTTCTGACTTTGACCAGGTTGGGTGTGATGGTATGGTGACTCACAGCTCTAATCCCAGCATTGGGAGGCAGAGGCAAGAAGAGCTCTGTGAGTGTGAGACCAGCCTGGTCTATATAGCAGGTTCTAGGCCAGCCAGAGCTACTTACTGAGGCCATTTCAAACAAACAAAAATGCCAAAACCAAACTAAATAAATAGTAAAGTTTGGTGCTATTATATTTCTGTACTCCCAGAATTCAGAAAACTAAGACAGGAAGACTACCAAAATTTCCAGGGCAGCCTGAGCTAAATAAGAGAGCCTGTCTCAAATAAATAAATAGGAAGTGTATAAAAGCAAATGAATAATTCGGCTGGGAATGTTGCTCGCTGATAGAGCACTTGTCTGCCATGTGCAAGACACTGGGTTCATTCCTAATACTAAAGGAAACAAGGTAAGTTGTATAATACCGAAGGCAGGATCTTGAGCTTTTGAGAAGCAGGATGGCAAGTAGAAGCGTGTACATAAACACAGACAGAACTTTGGGGCCAGGACTCTACAAGGGGGTGAAGAGATTGCTCAGTGCTTAAGAGCACTTACTACTCCTGCAGAGGACCCAGGTGTTAGTCCCAGCACTCGCATAGACTCACAACTGCCTGTAACTCTAGTTTCGGGGGTGCAGTGGTCTCTTCTGGCCTGTGTATTCTTTATTGCATGGAAAGGATGCACAGAAGCCCTTGCGGGCAGGCAGGCACACATACACAGAAGTGAAAATAGTAAATACAATTTTATCAAAGGAAAACACACCTGGGGCTAGAGAGATAGCTCAGCCATTAAAGGTAGCTCACAACCAAAACATGAAGAAAAAGCAATTGAACAGAAAAGACTGACTAGCTGCTTATCCTTGGAAAAACTCTGTCTTATTTCCTGATCTATGAAATAGGAATATAGTAGCTTATTTTATGAGCTTGTTGAGACTTTGATTTGGTTTTTGTTGGTGGTGGTGGGTTTGTTTGTTTGTTTGTTTGGTGTTTTTTTTGTTTGTTTGTTTTGGTTTGGTTTGGTTTTTTGAGATAGGGTTTTTCTGTGTAGCCTTAGCTATTCTGGACTCAATTTCTAGACCAGGCTGGCCTCAAATTCACAGAGATCCACCTGCCTCTGCCTCCCTGAGTGCTGGGACCACAGGCATGCACCACTTCACCTGGCTTGATTTTTTGGGTTTTTTTGTTTGTTTGTTTGTTTGTTTGTTTGTTTTGAGACAGTTGAGGCTATGCCTGGTCGAGGTGGTGTACACCTGTAATCCCCACATGTAGCTCACCTCACGTGAGTGTTTGCCAAGCTTTCTCAAGGTCCTAAGCCCCTTCACCAGCACTGGGTCACTCAGGCATGATTTACACCTGAATTCCAGCACTTGGGAGGTAGAAGCAGGCAGATCATCCTCAGCTACATAGTGAATTTGAGGCTATCCTGGACTACATGAGACCCTGTCCCCACCCTACTGCCTCTAAAAAGCATATGTATAGCTTAGTTTTCTTGGAGACAAAGTCTCCTGTAGCTTAGGCTGGCCTAAACTGTGTTTATAGCTTGAAACTTGAGATCCTCCTGCCTTTACCTCCCAAATAATAGGATCATGGTCCTTCCGAACCATACCTGGCAAGGTTAAGTGCGTTTGAACTAGGATTTCAGAGTGTGTTTATGCATAGGACCGACCTCTTTTCTGTTATTTGGCAGTCTGTTTCTTGGAACAGGGTCTCAGTACATAGCCCAGGCTGGCCGGGAGCCCTGCCTCAGCCTTCTGGGCATCGTGATTACAGTGTGTGCTACCACACTGAGCCCTAGAACCTTTCATTTGTTTGTTTGCTTTTTGAGACAGGGGTTTCTCTGTGCAGCGTGGCTGTCCTGGACTTGCTTTGTAGACCAGGCTGGCCTCAAATTCACAGATATCTGCCTGCCTCTCCCTCTGCCTCCCAGAGTGCTGGGATTAAAGGGGTTTATAACCACACCCGGTTTCCAGAACCTGTCTTTATTGAACACTATTAACATGTTAGGACATTTTTTGAAAATACTGTTCTAATAAATCCCCTGTGTTCATTTCTCCTTATTCATGAAAGCTTTTTGAATAACTACTGTTGCTCAGTACTGTAATCCTAGCATTTAGGAGGCTGGGGCAGGTTGAGCCAGCCTGGGAACAGAAGAAGACCCTACCTATCTCAAAAACTCAACCAAAAAAATTTTTATTTTTCAAAAATACTTTGAGTAGTATTTCAAAGTGGTTGATGAAACTTGTATTCTTACTTTTTTAAAATAAACTTGACATTTTTAGTTAATTTTTTTTTTTAATTTGACAATTCACTTTTGTTATCTCTAGCTAATTTAGAGGAAATTGAAGATGGAGATTCTCTTGACTCCTCAATCCAGCAAGTGGTAGGGAGTGGAGGCCAGAGGGTCATCACCATAGTGACTGATGGAGTACCCCTGGGTAATATCCAAACATCAATTCCTGCTGGAGGCATCGGCCAGCCGTTTATTGTAACTATGCAAGATGGACAGCAAGGTAAGTAATGCCCATAGACAGCTTCTTAACTAGAGGCATTTAGATGTCATATTCCCCTAAACCTGGTGCAGTAAAAAAGATTGCAGGAGTGTGGGAAAGTGTGGAGAGTGATAGAACAAAGGCGCTCAAGAGGAAACGGCAGACTACGATGGCTAATTTAATTTCCCTAAGATCCCACTTTGTGATCACCAAGCACACGTGGTGGGACGTGCCTGTGACATTAGCACAGGGGATGCTGGGCACCTTGAACTACACAGAGAGACAATCTCAACAAACAAAACAAGGTGAGATCCCAGGTCAGTAGGCACCGTGCACAGTCAGGTACTGGCTACAGGTTCCAGGCCAGCCTGAGTGACATATGAGTTCAGGGCCCACCAGGGCTACAGAGCGAAACAGTGCCCCGCAAAATAGGCCAAGGATGCGACTCCGTGTGGACAGTGCTTGTGTAATGTACAAGGGAGTTCCCGCCCACACATCAGGGGGATGCTCCAGAGGAACCCAACCTTCAGCACCCTGGGCACGGGCTTCTTCACCTACTGCAGTCTCTGTCATGTTTTGTAATGACACTTCTGGCAGGCTATTAAAGGGTGACACTCACTGCATGTGCTAGTTACTTGTACAAGGAAGGTAGTCTGCAGGTCACCCCTTGAATCCATCACCCTGTACGATCTGACTTTAACCCCAACACCTGTTCTCTTTGGGGCCTTGGAATCCTTTTGTAGTCACACATCCTCCATTCAGGGTGTCTGTACTTTTTCTGTCAGAGTCTCCTGCATACGCCAGGTTCTCATGCCTGGAACCTTTGGGTTCCCCCCGTCTGGGCTCTGCCTATGTTTCTGGTTCTTTCTGTGGAACTGCATCTTACCTTTTGACTTCAAATTCTGTGTTTTGTTGTGTTGGCTTAGCTTTTTGAGACCAGGTCTCAATCTGAAGCCCAGGCTGAGCTTGAATTCAGAGATCTGCTTGCCTCTGTCCCCTCATCACCAGGACTAAGGTTGTGTGTGCCCCAGAGCTAGATATTCTAAACTCTAAAGAAATATCACAAACAATATACTGGGGGGAAGGGTTATGCTTAGTGGTAGAACACTTGCTTGGCATACAAGAAGCCATGTCCAAAATAATATTAAATGTACTTTTTTTCTAGTTAAAATTAAACAATCCTCTTGATATATTGTGTGCTCATCATCTTCCATTGCTGTGCTTTGGCTTGTAGTTCTAACTGTGCCTGCTGGTCAGGTTGCAGAGGAGACGATAATTGAAGAGGAAGAAGAGGAGGAAGAAAGGTTGCCACTGGTGAAGAGACCAAGGATGGCAGAAGTGACGAACAGTGTTGAGGAAATCAAGGTAATGAGATTCTTTTCAGTTAAAGAGAAGGAGAAGGAGGGAAATAGAAGCCATGATGATTAGGGCTGAAGCCATCTTTTTCTCTACCATCTGAACAGTCCATTATCAGGGGTTCTTACTGTGGTGATGCTGTTTGCTTTACAGGAAGACAGTGAAAGAGAGATACTGCAGCAGCAGCTCCAGGAGGCTAATCGAAGAGCCCAGGAGTACAGACACCAGCTCCTCAAGAAAGAACAGGAGGCAGAACAGTACCGTCTGAGGCTGGCGGCTATGGCTCGGCAGCAGCCCAATGGAGTCGATTTCACCGTGGTTGAAGAGGTAGCTGAAGTGGATGCTGTAGTAGTGACAGAAGGGGAAGTGGAAGAAAGAGCAACAGAAGTGATGAAGTCAGGAAGGACCACAGAGCCTCGCACTAGTGTTTCCATAGAAACTGTTTCTTCATAACATGAAAAGGCCACAGCTTGCACTCGTGTATCTTATTCTTTTTACGAAGAGAATAGAGAGGGCAAGTACTGTGTACAAGTTAAGACTGACCTTGAGAACCTAACAGTAGCAGGGCTCAGTGCCTGGGCCCAGGAATACTATGTGCAGCTGGAAAACTCAGGGCCACACTAGGGCCATCTGAGGGACCAAAGGACCAGGACCAAATCTCTCAGCTCACATCATTGCTTTAAACAGAGTACTGGACATTGTGGATTGATTTTGTTTTAAAAATAACTACTTTTATAGCAAAAGATTTTAAGATAATACTTGTAATGCATATACACCAAGAGCCTTTAATAATTATACCTGTAAATTTTTAAGTGACCTGAAAATTTGCCTTAGCTTTATGAAACCAGTTAGGTTGTAGGAAACCTCCTCTTGAGGAAGAGTAAAAGATATATTCTAGAGGAGCAGGACACACGTTCTCCTAGTGCAAAGAAATGTGTAAGCCAGGCGTGCAGGTACACACCTGTAATGTCAGGCTGAGACAGAAAGCTCGTGAGTTTGAGGTCAGCCTGAGCTAAAGCAATTCCTTCAACTCCAGGTATGGTGGTGCCAGCCATAGCTACATAGTGAGATCCCGTCTCCAAGTAAAACAAAACAGGAGTGGAGAGGTGGAGAGGTGGCTGGCTAAGAGTGTTACTTGCTCTTCCAGAGAACATAAGTTCAGTTCCCAGCACCCACATTAGGCTGCTTACAAGTACATATAACTCCCAAACCCTTTTCTGGCCTCAGTGGCTATCCACACATACACATACAAATAAAAAAAATTTTAAGTTAGGTTAGTTGAATGCATTGGTTCACACTTTGGAACCTGAGGCAGGAAGATTGCTACGAGTTTGAAGCCAGCCTGAGCTCCGTAGTGAATTCCAGGTCAGCCTGAGCCAAATGTGGGACTAATGCAAGAACAGAAAATTCAATCAAGTGTGGAAGCACACACCTCTAATTCTAGCATTCAGGAGGTAGAGGCAGGGGAATCTGAATTCAAGGCCAGCCTAGTCCACAAAGAGAGTTCTGGGATAGCCAGGGCTACATACAGAGACACTGCCTATTAAAATAAAAAAAAAAAAAAAAAAAAAAGGGAAAGGAAAGAAAAATTAGCAGAGACTGACTTATGATTGATAAAATATATTTCCATAGCTTAGATACCAGTTTAAAAAAAAAAAAAAAGCAGGCATAGTGGTGCATGCTTGTAACCCCAGCATTTGAGAGGATGAGACAGAAGGATCACTGTAAGTTAAAGGTCAGCTTTGGTTACAATAAAATCTTAAAAATGAACAACAAAACCTCTGAAATGGCCAAGCGTGGTGGTAGTGGCTTCTCATCCCAGCACTTGGGCAGAGTCAGACAGGCCTTTGGGCCTTTAACTAACCTGATCCTCATAGTGAGTTCCAGGTGAGCCAGGGTTACTCAGATCAGGGAAGAGAAAAAAATAAAAAGATGAAAAACCGAGGACGCAGCTCAGTGGTAGGCATGGCGCTAAGTGTGCAAGGAGCCTTGGGCTGTACTTACACAACAGAACGAGGATAGGAGTGCAAAGGAAAAACAGTTGACATCAGATTGTTAAATGCTGAAAAGAAAATTTACTTATGTGGGAGTGTGTGTAAAACCCACACCCTCCAGGCTGTGCTTACAGAAAGAGGCTGCTGAGCTCTGAAACTCTGGTCTTGAGATGGAACCTATATATTGGCTGGATGTTATAAAACTGCAATAAGGAGAGCCGTGGTTGTCCTAACTAACATGTTGCTTCCAAACATCTATTTATATGAAATCAAGCTCAAGACTCTCTAAATTGTATAAATTTGGCTGAACTGTCTGTGTCACACAGGACACTGGTGCTTTCTGTAGCATTTACCCTGTCAGAAGGAAAGGAGTATGGCAGACAGAAGTCAGGCTGCTGCTGTGTAGATTTGCTGCTGTTTGATTCTGCGGGAGTGAATTGCTGCTGCTGTTAGTGTGGCCGGCAGAGCTCTGTGCATTCAGGACAGGCGACGAAGGGAGCTGTCCCACTGCCTCAGAACAAGGAGCCACACATGCAGGCCCATGCTGACCTCCCCTCTCTAACTCTGCACAACCTGTCTGTTCAGACACTTGCAAAGATTTCTAGTGCTGGGTTGTTGGTTTTGAGATGGGGTTTGGGGCAGGCCTCTTTAGTGTGAAGTTTCAGGGTTTTGTTTATTTGTATAGCCAGACATGTTACTTATAACCTCAGGACTCAGGAGCTACAGCAGGAGGAGTGACGTGAGTGTGAGGCCAGCCTGAACTACAGTGTGAGAACTTGTCTCAAAAACAAGACAGCTGGGCGCCGTTGCTCATGTCTGTAATCCCCATTCCGAGGGTCACTCAGGGTCACTGGGGCTCACAATCAGACTACGAGGCAACATAGCGCCATCTCCCTCTAGGACAGCATGGACTACAGAGACCTCTCCTACAGAGAAAAGGGCTGAGACCATAGTCCAGGAGGAGAGCCCTTGCCTCATTTTATGAGGTCCTCCATCCAATCTCCAGGACTGCAAAAACAAAATATTAAAAAATGCTTAAACAGAATGTGATAGTGCATGTCTCCAATCCCAGAACTGAAAGAGGAAGGCAAGAGGTCAAAGGTTGAGGGCCACCCTTGATTATTTATCAAGTCTGAGGCCAGCTTACACCTCGTCTCCCCCAAGGGGCAGAGGACTCCAGAGAACATGGTTGGGAAGAAGTTATGTAGAGTTGCTTGCTTTATTGCAGATTAGAAAAAAACCAGAGGGACATGTGCCAAGTACACGTTTGAATGACTATTGAGAATATGGTTTCCTAATTAGTGATCATGAAGAAAGCATGCATTTTAAACATGGAAAAAGCTTGATACTTAACATGGTTCTGTTTACCTTGATTAGTGGAATAATTTGTTACAGTGTTCCAGAGGTCTGGAATAATTTTTGGCTCAAAATAATCTGCAAACATAATTCTCCAAATAACATTTAACAAATAGAATTGACTGTTAGAGGTTTATAGGCAGAAATAACCATTTGAAATTCATCTTGGCTGCTGACACTTTGGCTAGGTCTGCTTTATGAACATCAGGGTTGTTTCTACTGCGTTGACAGTGGAGGAGGTGTGTATGGCTAAGGATGGAGCTGTGTCTGCTGTGGATCCTTCTGTTCCTGTTTACAGAGCTCTTGAGGAACCCTGAGATGAGCTGCTAGCAATAAGCTATTGTGTGTGCTGTTTCAGAGCCTTAGCTAACTAGAGGGAGCAAGTTTCTTTTTAGATGGGATTGTTTACATTCTTAGAGCATATGTTGACTTTCATTCCCTCCCTTCTTTTAAGGGACTAGATATTAACCCTGCAGAGGAGAACCACAGCCAGCCTCCTGGTTACCTTGGGTCTTCACTGTGGGGACAGGCTCTGTCCTCCTGTGCCTCTCTTCTGAGCAGAGCTGCTTTCCACCTTTAGGGGGACCAGTTTCATTATTCCAAGTCACTTTGAACATGAGGTCTCTGAGATAGGGAAAGAGAGACACAGTGTTTGAAAGAGGCTGACAGGAAGGCCCTCCCATTTACTTGGAATAGACCGCCTATCATGTCAAAAAGGAAGTAGGCTTTGTTCTCCAGTCAAACTAGCATGAGTACAAGACAGTGTGGGAGAGGATGCTTTCAGTTAGTTTGAAATGAAGTACTGAATAGCCAAGCATGGGGCACATGTGTGAAATCCCAGCACTGAGGAGGCTGAAGCAAGAGGATCAAGAGTTAGAGGCCACACTGGGCTACATGTCCACACTGTCTCAAAAACACAGAAAAGATGGGGCTGGAGAAATGGCTCAGTGACTAAGAACACTTACTGTTATACACAAGCTTGAAGGCCCAGATGCAGATCCCAGCACCCACTCTTATCAACCCATGGTGGTGTGGTTCCTGGGGCACCTGTAAACCTAGCCTTCTGGAAGTCAGAGACAGGAGGATCACTGGGACCTACTGGCTGCCAGCCTCACCAAAAAAAAGTGAATTTCAGGTTCAGGGAGAGACCTTGTATCAAAGGAATAAGGCAGAAAGCAATGGAAGGGGACACCAGTGTTCTCTTCTACCCTCTGCCCATAGTCTAAACCTGGACACACACACACACATATACGTCACACACGAAAATAACTAAGTAGAAATTAAGTGTTGAATACACTGATAACAGTTCATGACTTCACATAACCTTCCAGGTCAGCATTTTTCTTTGCTGCTTTTTTAATTTTAAAGCAGGGCTCCACTCTGTAGTCCAGGCTGGCCTCAGACTCAGAGCAATCCTTCTGCCTCCGCATCTTGAGTGCTGGGACTATAGGTGTGAGCCTCCTCTTCTGGGTCGAGAAGATCTGTTGAGAAGATCTGTCTTAGATCTTCTGAGTGGAGACATCTCAGCTTATCAGGAAAGCTGGACCAGTGAGAACAAAGCAGCAGATGAGGGGTTCAGAGCTGGGGCTCAAGCAGAAAGAATGCCAGGCCCAGGACTCATCTACAGTCCTGCAGGGATACAGTGGTAAATTCAGGGCTGTAGGCTAATTCAGTTAATTGTAGACGCTACATTTGCATCTTGGTTGTAAGTCTTTACCCACAAAAAAGAAAAAAGTTACAACTTTTGTCTTTCTGACTTCAGGGAAGTTCATGACAAATACATGTGTCTTCCCCCCACAGCCCTGCCTCTGTGGGGTCTCATTGTTGAAATGCCACAGCAGAGACCTCACGGGCGGCATAGGAGAAAGCATCTACTGGGGTTTTTTCTCTGAACTCAGTGCCTTAAAAGATACTCTTCTCTGTCAAATGTATATTTACTTTTTGTTTTGTTTTGTTTCTAGTCAGGGTCTCACTATGCAGCTCAGGCTGCCTGGAGCTTGCTCTGTAGACCAGGCTGGCCTCAAATTTATAGAGATCCCCTTGCCTCCTGAGTGCTAGGACTAAAGGCATCTGACAGCAGATAGTTTGCTGGGTGCATATTAGCATATTTGTGTGTGAATACATAAAATTTTTCTCAGTTTCCTCCTTGAGGTTCAGCTCTGAAGCATCTGGGATAACCTGGAAGCTTATTAAGTATATAGAGAGTATTTCTTTGAAATCCCTTAATCCAAAGGGGTACAGTGGGGCTTGGGATGGTGGGGGAAGCATTGAATAAAGATCAGTGTGGGAGTTGAGCCCAAAAGAAAGCTGGCCCGTGCTCTTGGGGAAGCAAGCAGATAAGTACAAAGACTCCATTGTCTGCACAGGATCAAAGTGAGTTGCTGCTCCATGGCCGATAGCCTTTTACTCCTGTTGAAGCTGCCTTGATACTTGGAAACCCCTCAGAGCCAGACATGGTGGCACATACCTTTAACCCTAGCACTTAGAAGGCAAAAACAACTGGATCTATGAGTTCCAGGATAGCCTGGTCTACATAGTAAGTTCCAGGCTAGCCAGGGCTACACAGTGAGACCCTGTCTCAGAAAAGAAAAGCTCTTAGGTTCCAGACAGGAAAGAAAGCCCAGGTGAGGGGCTATGGATGAACAGACGCTCTGGGCCTCTGCTTTCCCAGCTCAGAGTCTCATCACATTGAGAAATAACTCATTCTGAGAAAGTTTATGTCCCTGTCCCCTAACGGCAGCCATTTCCAACGCTAGAATAGCTGGGGCACATGGCAAACTCTTGTCAGAAGTTTAACAGTGAGCAGGAGTCACTTTTTGTTCCATTTTATTGGACTAGCTTGCTGTTCTCATGAGGACAGATAACCACTTAGGCCACCAGTATGCACTTTAAGCTCTGAGCTCCTTTTTCTGTTTTGTTTTCTTCTTTGAGACATGATCTCACTCTAGCTCAGGCTGACCTGGAACTCACTATGTAACAGGCTAGCCTCAGACCCCCAGCAATCTCATGCCTTAAACTCCTGTGTACTGGGGTTACAGTGAGCCACCATGCCAGACTAGGTCTAGCTGTATTTTTCTGTGGTGCCTTACCACGTTCGTCGTACGCACTCCATTTCCTGTCACTTTACTTACCAGGAGACCAAAAGCAAGAAGGACAGGAGTTAGAGTTAAATAGCTTTGAGCCTCTGGTGCTGCCCTTTGAACAGTTTTAGCCGCTCCAGAGCTAGGGGGAAGAAGATATTCCTAAACTTTATAATAGTAACTTGCCTTGTTGCTAGCAGGGACTTGCGACCCTCCCTGTCGCCCCTGCCCCTCCCCCACTGTTCTGCTGCCCCACCTTCTTAGGAAGGCTTTGCCAGGCACTGGAACATAGTCCATCATCTCTGATCTGTGGGACCCACCTTTTCTCTCTCTCCTTCCCAAACTCACGTGTTTTGTTCTGAGGTCATTGTTTCTGAGAATCAATGAGCTCATAGCCTATGTTCCCACTTAGTTTCTGGCCTCTTGGGGTGTCAACTGTTACAGTAGCAACACTGCCCCAGTGCTGGCCTTGCCCAGTGGGCCCTGCCAAGGCCATTTAGAGGCGGATGCCTGGAGATTCTTCTCAGTGTCCTCTTGTTTTTCAAATTGTCTGGCAGCTTTATGTACAGTAAACTTTGAAGAAAACAAAAGTTTCTTTTTTATTTAGGATAAAATAGTTGGAACCTGGTGAGCAAGCTTGTATGTACATGTGTGTGGATGGCATTTGTGTACATATACCTATACAGATTATATTATACACAGTTTTGTACTATCATTTAAAATAAAGACCTTTGTTAATAAAATGTCATTCCTGTTCAATTCTTGTCATCTTGGTAGAGAACGTTTCCACTATCTAACCCTGATACACTGAACCAGGGTAAGTGGCTTTGGTGCCTGCCTGCAAGCCTCAATGTCTTAGCTCTTACCTTGGTTTCTTTTGCTTTTTTAAATTTTATTTTGAGACAGGGTTTCTCTGTGTAGCCCTGGATGGCCAGGAACTCCCCCTGTAGACCACACTGTCCTTGAACTCACAGAGATCCTGCTGCATCTGCCGCCCGAATTCTGGGATTAAAGGCGTGTGCCACCACCGAGCAGTCACTCAGTTTCTTTCATGTATGAGGAATACCAGGCTGAAGGGAGCTAGGTAAGAAAGGTAGAGGGTATGAGCAGGACTAGACAGTATTGCCAGCATCTTGGGGCAACCAACTGTGCCCCAAACCCTTTGCAAAAGGTCATTCTAACTGAGCTTACAGACAGTTCACAGCCCCTGCACGGAGGGGCACAGGGCTCTCACCCGATGCTCCTGGCTCCATACCTATTGTAGCAACTCTGCCGTAACTGCTTGTGACCTGGGGAGGGGCCTGTGGGTAAAGGCTTCTCAGGTGCAACCTGTTATGAGGGAGGAGTGCCCAGACCCTTTGAAGTAAGCCCTCATCTATGCTCTGTAAGGAAGCCCAGTAAATCATTGGTTGCACAGAGTGAACTCCTGCCTAAGTTTGTCCTTGGGACCTTAGGAGGAAGGGTAGACATGTTTGTCTCCCTCTGGGAAGGAATTTTAGCAACATCCACAGAGAGGCAGCTCACATCTGTAATCGCAGCACTTCTACTACTGTGAGGAAGGAGGTGGAGCCATAACAATTCCAGAAGGCTTGAGGGATGGCAAATGGCATACACAGAGGCAGACAAGAAACCCATTGGAGCTATGGCGCACCTGCACCCATTCTCTCATGTAAACATAAGCACAATCATACAAAAGGCTTTAAAAATACTTTTTTAATGAAGAACAAAAAACAAAACACGTTGGGCTAAAGAGCTGACTCAGTGGTTAAGAGCACATGCTGCTCTACAGAGGACCCAAGTTTGGTTCCCAGCACCCATGTTAGGCAGGAGGGAAGGATGAGGCAGGAGGAGGCTGAGGTAAAGCCGAGGGCTGAGGCAGGAGGAAGGGCTCACAACCACCTGTAACCTCAGCTCCAGGGGACACACCAAGTCTCTTCCGGCATCTCCACATGTGCAGGTCTGAGCATACAGATACAGATAAAAAAAAGACACTTTTTAAAAAATGTTTAATCTTGATTTGTTTTGTATGTGTGCCTGAGTGGGTTTTGCCTGCCTGTGTGTCTGTGTTCCACGTGCATGTGCACGCAGTGCCCATGGAAACCAGAAGAAGGTGTCAGATCCCCTGGGACTGGAGTTACAGTTGTGAGCTGCTGTATGAGTCCTGGGAATCCATCCTGGGTCCTCTGGAAGAGCAGGCAGAGCTCTTAACTGATGAGCCATCTTGCTCATCAGTTTGTGTTTTTTTTTGCTCAATTTTTTTTTTTTTTTTTTTAAGTTATAGTAAAGAAAGGTGATGTTGAAGAGAAGGCCCAACATTATAGTGATGGTTGGTATTGACTGTCTGCTTGACAGGACCTAGAATCAATCACTTAAGACACAAGCTTCTGGGCATGTCTTCGAGGGAGTTTCTGGACTGGGTTATTTGAGGTAGAAAGACGCACGCTAAATGTGGGCGGCATCATTCCATGGGCTGAGGTCCCAGACTGGGGGGAAAAAAAGGCTTGATGGCAAGCGCCTTTAGCTGGATTGCTTTAGGCATCTAAATTTATCTCAGATTGCATTTAAACTAGAGGTGGGGCTTGAGAAATGGCTCAGCAGTTGCGAACTTACTGCTCTCACAGAGGATCCCAGGTTTGATTCCCAGCACCCACATGATTGCTCCTAATTATCTGTCACTCCAGTTGCAGGAGCTGCAGGAGCTGCAGGAGGCGACACCTGCCTCTGCAGGCACCAGGCATATACCTGGCACACGGGTACATGCACACATTATACTCTTACACCTAAGACAAACATAAATCTTTAACAATGTTTTCAAATCAGAAATGGGCCAGAGAGATGGATCATAGTTTAAGAGCACTGGCAGCTCTTTCAGAGAACCCACGTTCAATTCCCAGCACCCAAACAAAACAAATGAAAATTTAAAAAGTCAGAAACAAACATATCAGTGTAGTAGGTTCTCAGGAGGCTCCCTCTCTTGGAGGCCACACTGGCCTCTACTAATTCCTTGCCCTAGTCACTGCTCCTCTGACAGCAATTTTTACCTCCAGTTTGACTATCACCTAATTCATGGCAATCCTGCTGCCTCAGCCTCTTGTGTAGCTAGATTACAAACCTGGTTTTGTGTAAATAACCTTTGTTTTCTTTTCCTTTCTGAGACAGGGCCTCATGTTTCCCAGGCTGGCCTAAAACTTGATACCCAGCATCATCCTGAAGTTCTGACCTTCCTGACTGTGAGCACATCCCTCTTGGTGCTGGAATTAGAACCAGTGAATTAACACGCCACGGTGCAGGGCACCAAACATCTAGCGTTAGGCCTGCTAGACAAGCGCTGTGAGCTACGCCCAGCCTTAACCACCTTAAACAGTGATCAAGGGTCATCTGCTGGGTCGAGGAGCAGTGACTCATACCTGTGTGTTCCAAAGCTTGGGGTGGAAGCATTAAGAAGCAACAAACCTAAGTAATAAATAGTTCAGGCCCTTGTGACTTTGCCCCCAAAGAACCCAAGATGCTGAACAGCTTTTGAAGTTCTCTTGATTGTGGAACCTTTTGAGTCTCAGGTCCCCAAAGCCTTAGACACCTGATGGCTTCAGCCTTCTGGGGCCCTGGTTTCCCCATAATCTCCTAGGATGCCTCATAGAAATTAGCTCAAAGGTCTCCAAGGATGAGGCTGCAGTAATATTCTGCTTTTCCTAATAACAAAGTGGGCTGGTATTGTGACTTTTTAGCAGTAGAGACACACACCTGTAATTCTAGCACTTAGGAGGTGGAGGCAGGAGGGTCAGAATTTCAAGGCCAGCCTGAGATATATATGACACCCTGAATAAAAAAACCAAAAACAAAATTCCACCAAGCAGATACCTTAATTGAACTTAAAGAGGACATGTTTTTCCTTCCATTTTCAGGAATGTCTGCACCCATCTCTTAATTTATTAGCCACTATCATAATCTGCCAGTAGAAAGTTTTCATGAGCAATAATGAACTGCATCTTTGGTGGTGGCCTATGTTATTTTGGGCAAAAAACCATGTCCTACAGAACACTTAATTGTAGGGCTTTGGGGAAGTGGTGAAAGGAGGCTATGTTGTCCAGGCTTGCCTTGGATTTAGTGTTCCTGACTCACTCCAAGCAAAGTGCGAGAACAGTGGGCCACCACACGCCTAGCTAACTTGCTTAATTTACACCTGAATATCCATGCTTTACGAATCCCTGTTATATGTTCTTTCCATTCTTTAAAAGAAATTGAGACCAAGGCATAGTGGTGCACGCCTTTAATCCCAGCACTTGGGAGGCAGAGGCAGGCAGATCTCCATGAGTTCCAGTCCATCCTGGTCTACAGTGTGAGTTCCAGGACAGCCAGGGCTACACAGAGAAACCCTGCCTGCCCTGGGGATTGTGGGGTGGGAGGGGGAGCTTGGAGAGGTTAAACTACAAATGGTTTCAAAGAAGAGGGAAAAACAGTTGCTTTCGTTTACTCATGGTTCCCGGCTAGAGAAGTAAACATTCCCTTAAAAATACTAATGAAGAGTACAGCCAGGACACTGGCATGGAAATTGCTGCTGCCCGCAAAGAATTCCAAGGTTAAAGCTGAGCTGTAGCTTCATGACAGCACTTGTCTACATGGGCAAGGCCCTGGGCTTGATAAATCAACCCCTCTCTCTTCCTCTCTCTGTGTGTCTGCTTGACCTTTACGTATTTATCTGTCGGTTTCACACCTATGTATTCGGCCAAACACAAATCAAAAATATTTGGGTGAAAACTGTATGTGTACTGAACATACAGAGATTTTTTTTTCTCTCGTCATTATTTCCTAAATAATATGGTACAACAATTATTCACACCCTGAGGCTCGCACCTCTGATCCCAGCACTTGTGAGTCTAAGACAGGACATCTGTTCAAGGATAGCTTCTACTACATATTGGAGTACAACCTTGTTTCAAAAAAATGCTATCATTTATATTGTATTAGGCGTTGTTAAATAACCTAGGAATGATTTAAAGTATACCAGAGGCTGAGCATGGGTCACATGCAAATACTGTGTCCTTTCATATGAAAGACTTGAATATCCAGGTTTGTTTGTTGGTTTGTTTTAGTTGCGGAGACTGTCCTATCAATCCCATTTAGAAGCTGGAAGATAACTGTACTTTAGTTCTCTTAAAAATTTAAAAAAGTGTGGTTTTTGTTCTTGAGACAGGGTCTTACCATGTTGCCCTGGTGGCCTGACTTGCTTCTGCAGACCAGGGCTCTGCCTCTCAGGTGCTGGCTGGCCAGTTTTAGTTCTTCACATATTTGGTTTTTTTTTTTTTTTTTTTTTGAGTTGGTTTTGAATCCTGTGTCTTAGGCCAGTCTCACACCTGCTTTTTGAGCCACCATTTTAGCCTTTTCTCCCTTCTTCCTGTCTTTTCCGTATTTCCCTTCTGATACCACCTTACATCATAGCCCACGCTGCCCTCCAATCCGCAGTAGACACCCTGCTCGGTTCTTCCGAAGCGCTGGAATTGCAGGCAAGCGCCACCAGTCCGTGTTTGATGCCGTGCTGGAATTAGCACTGAGGGTTCTGTGTCCATACATGCTCACTATGGCCTCCACCAATACCCTATGTCCCAAGCCCTCTCTCATCTCAGGATCTGTGTGTGAGAGCTTGCGGTGGGGGATGCCCAGGGCACACATGTGGAGGTCAGAGGATAATTTTAGACAGTTACTTCCCTTTCCACCTTGAGCTGAGCTTCCGGCAACCTAACTAGGCAGGCAGGCCCTTTAGCCGCTGAGCCACCTTGCTCTCCCTCTTCTTCATCTTTTGGGAGAGACTAGCTATACCCCAGATTTCAAGATCTTTATGCCCATTCACAGGGGTGTCCTACACTAGCCATCATGTTTTGAAGAGATTAATGCAGCCAAAGGAATGAAAAAGATACTCCCTCCTTCAACTGTGCCCCAGCACTGTTTAGGACACTAGCAACGGCCCATCTTAGCTTAAGGTCCCCAAAGAGAAATAAACTGAACCTGACAAAAAAGCTGCAAGCTAAGAAATGTCAGACTCTCGGAAGGACCCTTGCCAATTAGCCTAATCTTAACTGAACTGCACTAAGAAACATTCAAAGAGGTAAAAACCTAGAAGGGAAAAATTTTTTCTAAGTCGAATTTACAATACGAAGAGAAACGGGTGTCTAGGAAAAGCTACAAACTCTGGCATACAGGGCTTAGACGAGTGACACAGGAGGAACCACCGTTTCGCGGTTTCTCTTTCACAAAGCGTTTGCACATGACAGTACTTGAGCCTCTCGACAGTGTTACTGCAGATGAGAAAGGAGGCTTAAGGCAGAGTTAGGATCTCAAGGGTAAACAATACACTCCGGAACTCTTTGGCCAAAACTGTTCTCAGCAGTTTCCCCTCCTCCACCAGAGAACTGGCGGCTTATTCAGCTGCAGGGCTTGGTCGGGCCTCTGGGAGGCGCCAACGCGAACCGGCCTGGCGCTGGAGCAGGGCGGATGCTGCCGTCACGCGCCTGCCAAATTCCAGCAAATCCTCCAGTGCAGCCAGCACCCACGAGAGGCTTTAAGTGGTCCTAGCGCCAGGGTGGTGGGTGGGAGAAGCGTTCCGGGCCATCCCTCCCTTTGGTACCCAGGATACTGTACAAGTATCTGCAGCCAGAGGAAAGGAGCATCGCGAGGGCCACACCGAGCAGTTGCTCTAGCAAGCAGCTGGAACGGCCCATTAGGGAACCAGTTGCTGGGGCACACCCCTGCCTCTCACAGGGCTCATCTGCGGGTTTTTGTTTTGTTTTGCATCCTAAGGCTCAAGCAACCCAAACCCTTCCAAGCCCAGTTTTCTCTTTTAGGACAAGATTTGCTGATGTGAAATTCAAATCACGCAGCAGCTTCGTTTTATTTTTCCAAAAGTTCCCTCCCCCACCCCACAGCGTAAGCCGTAAAAAGGTGCCTGACCTCTATTCAGAAACGTGCCGAGTGCCTTTCCCCAGCGCCCCCCATCTGTACCCCGCTACTCTCCTGGGCCCTGGCTCACCCCCCCACCCCCACCAGGTCGCTTGCCTCCTTCCTTCAGGAAACCTTTCCTGATTAACCCCGGTGGGACAGCCGCCAAGCCAATTACTCCGGAGAGACTCGGGGGCCCGAGGTGAGGTGAAGGCAGGCATTCAGGGGCGCGGGCACCCAGAGGGGCCGGGCGGGCCCGCCCCGCCCCGCCCTCCTCCCCCTCCCGCACCGCGAGAAAAGTCAGGCAGCGGCTGGGGGTGGGGGGACACGCTGTATTGGGAAGACGGGGTGTTGGGGGGGCTCCTACACAGTAGGAGGAGGCACGTCCCGGCCCCACGAGGCCCGAGGACTCTGTACACAGCGCGCGGCTCCAGCCCCGGCCGGCCCGCCCGGGGCCCAGTCGGCGGGAGCCCGGAGCGGCGAGTTAAGGCAGCGTGGCTGGAAGGGAGCGGGGAGCGGGGGGCAGCCAGCTCCCCCGAAATGCTGGCGCTCCGGGCGGCGAGCTCCTCGCCCCCTCCCTGGGCCAGGGGGGAGTACAGTCAATAAATAAACCGGGGCGAGAGGGGGGCCCCGGGAGACTCTCGGGGGTCCGGGCGGGCCGGCGGCCTCCAGTTCTCGACGGGCGCCCGCGGCTGCCGTCAGAAGTTGAACTGGCCGCCGTGCGGCGCGGGCGGCTGCGGGGCGGCGAGGGCCGGCTGGGGAGCCGGCGGAGACTTGACGTCCACCCTCTTGAGGGAGCGGCCGCGGTAGCCGTCGGGCCGGCCGAGGTACAGGAGATGCCTCCCGGGCCCCCCGGAGTACCTGGCGTGGCCTCCCGAGGGGACCCGCGTGAGCAGAGCCGGGGGCGCGCGGTGCGTGGGGAAGGGCAGTCTGCGGCCGACGCCGACGCCCAGGCGCGGGGCGGGGGCCGACAGGGCGGGCCGTGCGCCGGGGGCCGCGCGCCTGCCTCCGGGCGGCACGTCGAGCCTCAGCGGCGGCACGCAGTCCCGCGGCAGCGGGCTGGAGTCCGCGAACAGGGCGGCGCCGGGCTCCGCGGCGGGCGGCCTCGCGGGGAACGGGGCGGGGGGCGGCGGCTCGGCGCCCTTCCTGGGCGGCTGCGGGCCGTGCAGGTAGCGCAGCAGTTCCTCCAGCGTCGTCACCTCCACCGCCTGCCCCGGGCAGCCCGGAGGCGGGGGCCTCACCAGCACGCGGGGCGCCGACCCGCCCGCCGCACTGCAGCCCCGAGGGCGGCCCGGGCCCTCCGAAGCGTTGTTCCCGTTCTGGTTCCACTCCCAGGGTCCCCCGGAGGCGCGGAGGTGCTTCACCGGCAGCTCGGGCGTGGACTCCGGGGTGGGCAGGCAGGCCAGCTCCGGCGGGGGCCCACCCTCGGGCGGGGGCAGGAAGGTAGTGTAGAGCTGGGGCGTCTGCGCTCCGTCTCCATCCTTGGGCGGAGGCGGGGGCTCAGGACCGCCACCGTGCAGCCGGGCCAGACTGCGGAGGGAGAGAGGACGCGGCAGCCCCGGGGTCTCGATGTCCTTGCTCCGAGGGCGATTCGCGCGACGACAAGCGCAGGACACCAAGAGGCCGGAGACGGAGGCGCCCAGGGCGAAGGCTGCCGCCACACAGGCCAGGAGGAGTGGGATGGGGATGGAGCGGTAGGCTGAGGCGGGGGGAAGGTCTGTGCGCACGCCTGCCGACCGAGAAGGATGGAGGAGGCTCAGCTTTACGGCAGGGCAGGCGGTGCGCAGAACGGGCACTGGGGGGCCAACAGCAAGTTTTCATGCTGCTGCTCAGCTTCATTCCAGTCTGAGTCATTTCCCGGGACCCCTAAACACACAGGCTAGAGCATGGGTCTGCGGTATCCCCGTACCAGGCTTAGCCACTGTAGCCATGCCAAGAACAACTGTCAAACTGCAAGACACTGGCTGGGACGTCCAGCTGTGGTGAAGGGAGGTTCCAAACAGGTGTTAGTGGGCATCAAACACCAATCGGCACCCGGCTTAGAATTCTCAGAGACTCAGCAGGTCCACACTGCACTCCTGTCCCTCCCAGGTAACCCCCTTACCCTGCGTGTGAGCTCCAAGAGTAGAAGACTGGGGCCCTGGGTGGGCATCTCTGGGGGAACTGGGGGTCTCAGGGGAAGGGCCAGAACCCAGAAGCACTGGTAACAGAGACCAGGTCAGCACCAGTGAGACTTACGCTGTCCTGGCACCACCGAGCCCCCACCCCCACCTCTTTGGAACCCAGGAGCCCAGAATTCCAGTGTCTCCCTCTGGCCGTTCAAGGCGCTGGTCTGCGTATAGCCAAAACGGATACGGTTGTGTGGGCTACGCAAGGGGAAAGGAAGGACACTGAGGCCAAAAGACTCACCATAAGCAGAATCTCCAGGGCCAGACTGACTTCCGGTTGCTCCACCTATGGCAGAGAGGGTGAGAATGAGGAAAAGGGAAAGCTTCATGAAGAAGTGACAGAGGTAACTGCGGTACAGACGCCGAGAATGACAAATGCCCGAGCCTGGGGCGCTGTCGGCAGCCACCAGAGCCATATGCAACTTCGAGCTGTGGCTGTAGCCGTCCTGTGTTTACCTTGGCAATCACCATGCTCCATGGATTCCTGGTTCCCAGTCAGATCAGCATCGGTCCTAGAAGAAAAGGGGGTGGCTCACTGCGGCGCACACTTTGCCGAACACGCTCCTCAGGAGCCGGGGCTCCTCACTCACCAGCCAGATCCCCTGATATTCACACAGCCTCTGAGTCGATGCCATCCACAGTATGGGTCCCGGGAAGCCAGACAGCTCCTGGGGGGAGACTGAGCCGTGTGAGGCTGGTACCCTCCACTTACCACAGCCCATGGCCAGTTCCACTCATCTTGCATTACCAGAGGCTCCTGGGCCTATACTTCCATCCCCTCCACCCCAATCTATCCCAGACCCTGGTTGCTGCCCACTTACAGACTACCTGTGGTACCCAACTCTCTCCTCCATTTTCTCGCCGCCCTCAAGACTTGGGGATTTTTCTGTGTTCCTACTAGCCCAGGAAGCCTAGCTAGGCTTCCTTAGGTTCCTCTCACCTCTGACATGCCCCATGGCGGGCACAGCGGCTGAGAGGGAGGTAGACGATACATCCAGGAAAGGCCACAAAAAGCCTGTGACCCTCAGTGTCCAGCTCCAGCCCTATGATCCGTCTTGCAGCTTGGGCTGAACGCTTCCCACTGCACCTAATATGATGCCACAAGGAACTAGAATGGGGAAGGTGAGGCTGCCTTTTCCCCAGACGAGGCAGATGGACAGAAAGAAGTGGCAGCTGGAAGAGGTGCACAGAACAACTAAGCACGGCCCATGGCACCACCTTACCCAAGGCGGGGGAGCCTTCTCCCCAAGTCCCTTTCCCTACCGCAAGGCCTCGAATGCTGCCAAGCCAACACTGGACTGTCCACCCACTTATCCCCGTTTCTCCATCACCCACCAGGCATCCCACCTCTTTCCTGCAGGGACCCACCCCCACAGAGGACTCACCGGGCAGGGCTATAGGCATTGATCTCTTCCAATATGATAGGCTCATGTTCCAGAGACTGTCCCCCTGGAGGCAGCACCTTCAGTACTGTCCCATCAGAGGAGCCAAGAAACAGGACTGTGGTGTTTCTGTGGGGCCCAGCCATGCCGTCCACAGCTACCTGGGTCAGTAGAGCCCTGGAGCAACAGGCTTCAGGTGAGGACAACGTACCTAGTACAGCTTGAGTATCTCAAGGACAGCCCAGATGTCCTGCTTCCCACTCCATCATTCCTTCACAGTCCCCACCCCCACACCAACGTGATTTGGCTCATGGGCCCCACAAGAGACAGAAGAGAGTGGCTGCGGGCGGGAGGCAGTGGTCACCTGCTGGTGAGAGTGAGGAGGGGTTGATGGGTGGCAGGTGGCACAGCGGGATCCAGCAGTGGGTGGGCCTTGATGAAGAGCAGGACATCGTCAGGTAGGTCTTGAGAGGAGGAGAAAAAGGCAGCTCCACCCACACCTGCACAGGACCCTGGCCTGGTGGGCACATGGAAGGGGCAGCCTTAGGGCAGAGAACGGGGCTTAATTAAGCTGTGTGTCCCCCTGTTCTCAGACACGGTTGGTCACCGTCACTCCCCTGCAGACAGACAGATGTGCACCATTGTTTCCCTTCCCTCTTGCAGCTCCTTAGTCCAACCCATGGTGGCCTTGTCCCCGGGCCACAGTGACCTTAGCCCTCTTCACAACCCAACATTAAGGACGGGCCCCACAAAAGCCACCTGCACCCCGGGTACCTGGGTGAGGGGACCCTGTCCTCAGACACAGGAGTCCAGGCCCCATCCAGACTCCTCTGCTCCTTGAACTTGCCCTCAAACCCACGTTCAATGTCATCCAGGTAGAAGGCGCAGACGGCAGACCCAGGAATGCTGAGGGAGCCAGAAAAGATGCAAGGTAGATGTTGACAGGGACTGCACAGCTCCTGCCAGGTGAGAAGTGGAGGCTGCCTGTGTGCGCTGCCGGGTTAGAGGGAGAGACTGGGGGAAGGGGAGCCTGCGCTTGCTTGGCACTTCATCCTCAGTAGGCATTACAGGGGATGCTGGACAGACGTTTTGGGGAGGGATAGATAACTGGATCACACAGTTTGCTTGGTACCAACCTATTGGTCTGAGTAGTGAAGACCCCAAAGAGAGCAGAGCGGCCATGCAGGTTCACAGGCCCAGTTAAGGCCTGTAAGACGTCAAAGTAGAAGGTGGAGTCCCCAGGGACAGAGCAGTTGAGCCTCAGCTTGAGGAAGGATGTCCAGTGGCGATCCAAGGCCCGAGGAGAGCCACCCATGTCACGTTTGCACACCCGGGCTACCCGGGAAAACTGTACCTGAAAGAAGATATGGAGAGAGCCACGTGGCAGCTGCTTGAAATGTGCGGGAAGAGTTAAGACCTCCAAATGTTAAGGGTCACAGCAAAGAAAGGGAATGGTATAACGGGTCAACTTGGGTTGAGGTGAGAGTTATAGCCAGAAGATGAGAGCTGGAAGTTATGCAAAGTTATGTGGAGAGGGGCCAAGAGCCCTAGAAATTTGTTTTGGAGGTAAGAGCCAAGAACCTCCCTCAGGACCCAAAAGAACCCTCCGGCCATTCAGCTACCCCTGGTGCTCAATTCCTTACCCTCCCCAGGCGAGCATCTTCCACAGAAACCTCCCGGAAGAAGAAGTAGACGTGGTCTCCATGTTCCAAAGCATAGACAAAGTGTGGCTCTAAGGCAGAGGATGACAGGAAGGGGCTTCCGTATCTACTGTCTCCCCCCACACCCATTAACACACCCTCACCGCCCCGCACAGTCCTGTTTCAGTCCCACCCGGGCATAGACTGACCCCCAGGGTGACTGACCTCGAAGCCACTTGGAGTCATACTTTGCAGAACGGAGCGGGGGCTGAGGTCCAAGGCTCCTGTAGACCACAGCGTCACTGGCCTGGAAGTCTGCTGCTGTGGCTGAGTACAAACTGCCCTCTGGAGGGATGAGGGGAGCGGGGTCACGGGAAGCTCAGGGCCCACAACTGCTGTGCCTGCGCATCTACCCAGGCCTGGTCCCAGCCCCTGCCTCCACCCTCCACTCGAGGACATGGGGGAAAGACCAAGTTGGGAGAGGAGCTCCCCCCAGCCACATGCCTGCTTTTCACATGCCCAGGCGCACACCTGCAAATATGGCCACATTGGACTGGGTGGCATCAAAGGGGCACCGAGCTTGCCCACTCAGCTCCTCACCCTCCTGCTGCAGTGATGTTATCTGGGGGGAAAGGAGGCAGATTCCTGGAACCTTGGGGTCTTAGAGTCTGGCCCTACAGCCCACTCCCACTCAGCTCCCTCCCCAGTCCCTTCTGCACTCTTGCATTCCAAGTATGCCCCGGCCTGTTCCCAGGTGCCCGTCTCTTCCCATCACACTGACTGTTTATTTTGGATTCTCCTCCCAGTCCTTTTCCTTGTACCCCGTACCCTGTAGCTGCGGCACATGGGGCTGAATGAGTTTGTTCCACAGGCAAGGAGTGTCTGCGAGTCCCAGGGAACAAGAACACGGATGTAATTGTAGCATTCGTCCTAGGGAACCCAAAACTCTAGGTCAGTGACAGGCCTAGGACTGAAGTCAGGGCTCACAGGAAGTAAGGCTGCTACTCTTGGGCCAGTCAGAGCAATGTGCAGCTAAGGTCTCAAGCTGTTTACTGGCGTTCTAGCCTTCAGCAAGTTCTTTGGTCTCTCTGAACCTCCCTTTTCTTTTTCCTGGGGTGTTTTAAAGGGAACTAAAGAGTGTGAATTCTGTTTCCTTCCCTTTGTCCTCTGGGCTAGAATGGAAAGGGAGTACAAAATGGTCATGGTGGCTCACTACCTGGAGGCAGTCCTCGCCTTCCCTCCAATTACACTCCAGTCCTCACCGTCAGCTTCCCCCGAACAGCACAATTCTCCATATCTTGGCTCCTCCATGTCAGAAACTGAAGGGAGAACAAGATGGGAGGTCATAGGGCAACCTGGACCTGTCCTTTTTATGTGCTTTTCCCAACCCACAGGACCTCCATTACCCCTTCCCCAGCTTTGTCTCCCTGCCTGCGCCTCCTCACATAGAGCCCCTACCTTGTTGGGCACCAGCCCCTCCCCTTCTTCCTGGGCTTGAAGATCGAAGGAGAAAACGTGATCCCTGAAGGGTAGGTAAGCAGGGGTCAGAGCCCAGGCACCCACCTGAGCTCCTTAGCCCCATCTTACCCGTGGTCACCTGCTCAGGGCCAAGCCACACAAAATCCCTACTCCCTAGCCTCCCCCTTACTCCACGCCTTGGAATTTGTTCTCTGTGTCCAGGAATGTCCATGCCCCATGGCTTGTGCACCTGCATGTGTGCCCTGCAAGATGCTGCAGTGGCCATACAGGTCCCATGTCTGCCCAGGAGCATGCACGTCTGCCCCACAACTGTGCTCGGCCATTTTACCGGGCGGCCACAAGTAAGGTCCGGTTCAAGGTCAGGAATCGCTGAAAGTCCAGCCCAAGTTCTGCAGCCACCGCATCACCCTCCAGGCCCCGGAACCAAGATGATGGAGAGGCACCTAGAGGGTGCAGAGGAACACTGAGGATGGCAGCTGAGGCAACACACACTTCCTGACTCCCTCCCCTACTGGATGAGACCCAGCCAGGGCTCAAAACAGCTAGGCATAGAGGTGTACACCAGTACTGGGAAATCTGAAGCAGGAGGACTGCTGGGAGTTCAAGGCCAGCCTTGGTTACATAGCAAGTACCAGGCCAGTATACCAGATAAAATGCTGCTGGGCGTGATGGCGCACACCCGTAATCCCAGCACTCAGGAGGCAGAGGCCGGCCTGGTCTACAAAGCGAGTCCAGGACAGCCAGGGCTGTCTCAAGGGAGGAAAAAGGAAAGGAAAGAAAGAAAGGAGACAATGAAATGGCTCTGGCTAAAGATACTGGCCGCCAAGCCTAACTACCTGAGTCACCAAGTGAGGGCAGAGAACGAGTTCCACATTAGTTGTCCTTTAGCATGAGCATGTCCCCCCCCCAAAAAAAAATAACTATTAAGCAAAAAGAACACCAACTGAGCATTTAATCATCAGGCACTGTGTTAGTCATCTGAATGAGTTACCTTCCTTAATATTTTAACCTTATGAGTAGGTCCTCACACCGGCTGAGTGCACAGAGGGACTTCCATAACTACCAGGCAGGCAGCAAGGCTTCTATCAAGTCTGTCTGACTCCGGAGCTGAGCCAAGTCCCTTCTTAAAACTACCTTTGTATTAGAAAGTCCCTTTCAAAGGGCTGGAGATAGCTTAGTGGTTAAGGGCATGCATTGCTCTTCCAGAGGTCCAGAGTTTGATTCCCAGCACCCAACCAACCCTAACTCCAACTCCAGGGGACCCACCTCCTGTGACCTCCATGAAATTAAAGCATTCTATCCCCCAGGTAAATAACTAAAAAATAGCTTGAAGAACTCCCTGAAACTGACCAGATTCACTAAGCCTGCTCCCTGCCAAAGTAAACAATGAAAGCTGGGATCCCACCCTCCCACCACTGCAAAGAAGAAGCTTCAGAGTAGGAAAAAACAAAATAAAACAAAGCAAAACAAACAAACAAATAAACAAAAAACCCTCTGAGACCAGCCCAGCTGCCTGGACAAGACTAACAGAGGCTCCTGGAAAGCATGTTCTCCAGTCTGCTGAGCTGCCTGCAGACTGTGCAGTAAGCTCCAGCTTTTCCAGCTTTGGGGAGCTATTGCCCATGCTGGGGTGGACTTTGCTGATGCAGCTGTCCTTGAGTCATTTCTGTTCCTGTAAGTAACCCCTCACCCATATTCCTGTAAGTAAACCCAGAAAACTTATTGGTTCACCAAGTTGGACTTTGACGGTATCCATACTTTGGTCTGCCATAGCCTCCCTGTCTGGGCTGAGTAGACAAGAGTGTTTCATCTCCCCAGGAAAAGTTTGTCATACAATAGCTCCTGTGCGCACCCGCGCGCGCACACACACACGCACACACACACACACTTCTCCCACACCTCTTCAAGTCCTCCCCTCAAGACTTTTCACCACTCCAAGGTTCCTCTTCTTCTGACCAAACTCAATTGTCCAACCTGGTCTGGGCATGGAAGCCACAGGTATTAGTGTTTAGGGGAAACCCAGGGTTTAAAGATGACTTAATGTCCACAGAGTGCTGAGAGCTGCATCTGACGTAGTGTTTGCTATTCTTATCTGTCCCCCAGCAATCACACCCAATAGCCCAACTGAAATTACTCCAAACCCAACATCTATAACACAGACCCGAACAAATGAAGATTTTTCTCAGAAAGGATGGGTTTATGGTTTCTGTCATGGGGACACATTGGCTCACTGGTGGGCAGAGAGGGAAGTAAGAGGTGTTGGGAGCCACCAAACTGGCAGAGGACGCCACTCAGTAGCTAAGAATAACACACAAACATGAAGTGCTTAATTTGGGCCAGACAGTGTTCTCAGGACTCTGCCTCATTATGTTCCATCTATTATCTCACTTACTCTCTAAATAACTCCGTAAGGTACAACACTATGATTGTCATCTTTTTTCACAGATACGGAAACTGAGGCAAAGAAAGGTTATATAACACTAACCGAGGTCACACGGCTGGTGAGTGGCCGAGCAGGGATTCAAACCTGCTATGGTTTGGCTAAGAACTTACATTTCTTATGTTTGTCTGTTGAGACAGGGTCTTGCAATGTAACCCCATCTGGTCTGGAACTCACTACATAGTTCAAACTGTCCTCAGACTTGTAGCAATCTTCCTCCCTCAACCTCCCAAGTGAGCACGCACCATCCCGTTGCGCTAGAGGTCACATTCTTAGCCACCTAGCAACACCACCTCTGAGTGAAGAAGCAAAGCCCGGGGATGACGAACGTGTGGTTCCAGCTCATTCCACCTGTTTGTTCCGCTTTGCTTCCTTGAGACTGCTACCATTCCCACACCTCGCCTCCTCCCACATAAGGGTCTATTTCTCTACTTGCTTCCCCCAGAGGGTAGAGTGGGTGGGGCACTCACCTTGTAGGTCAGAGGTCAACAGAGGGGTGGGGTCCTGGGGAAAGGCGGCCTGGGCGTGGGGGAGTGACAGCAACAGCAGCAGCAGCAAGGGCATGGAGTGGAGGGCACGGGGCATCCTGTGCGGGGCAGCTCAAGCCCCAGGGGGTACCCCCTCACCCATATGCTGGCCCTGAAAGGGGAGACAGAAAAGTGGGGGAAGGGACTAAGTTCTCTCTACCCTCGTCTGAGGCAGACTCCTCCCCAGGTCTATCCCCAGAAGACCCTGTGGGGTGGGGCAAAGAACCATCTCCGCCTCACTCCCAGCCAGCTGTCCCTGTCACTCAAGGCCCTTCCCTCTCCAACTGGGCTGAACTGGTTGGTGTGAAGCCTGCCGGTGTGACCCCAGGTAAGGACAGAACAGATCACTGCCCCTCCCAGCCTTCCCTCCTCTCTCCTGCCTGGGTCTGGGATAGGTGACACCTCCTGGCCCCCCTTGTGCTAACCCCCTTCTCAGCTATAATTAGATACTGAAGCCTTAAAATTATAAATAGTGACTCCTTGGCACTAGGAGGAGGAAGAGGACACCGAGTCTGCTCTCCCCTCCCCTCACAGACCCCCACAGCACCCTGGGAGTAATGCAGGCACTGAGCCCAGGCAGAGGCAGCTGTGCAGCAGCCATGGCCCTGTCTAGGGCTGAGAAAGAACAGAAGGAGAGGGACAAACAGCCTGGGGGTCACTGACCCAGCCTAAGCTCAGACTTCAGGGGCCATTCCCATTGCGAGGAAGAAGCTGGGCAGGGAGGGAATGGGGGTGTGCTTGGAGGGCCTGTCTTAGCCAAAAATGAATCTGCATCAAAGCCAGATCAGAGGCTAAATATAGCTCTGGCTGCAGCTGTCTCCTCGACCACTGTGGGCCCCCCCCAAGCCTGGAGCCCCCCGTTGCCTCCCTGGCTCCTAGGAACCAACCCATGTTCTCAATGTGGGGAGAAAAGCACACCCACCCCCTATGCAGAGCGAAGGATAGAAAGGACCAGTAAGAAGAAATGGCTGAACGTGCCCCGCTTGCCCCTTCTTCCCTCATCAGGCTGCCTCTGAAATTGAAATATAAATAATTCAATGACAGGCAATTGTAGCCCAAAGTCCAAGAAAAGATGGATACGGTGAAAGGAGTGCTGACAGGTCTCCTTCCCACCCCCAGCATCCCCCAGCCAGCTGACCCTGCTTGGACCCACGCTGGGTGCATACCAGCCTCCTGCCTTCCCTTGAAATTAAAGTGAGGGGCTGAAGAGGCTCCATTACTCAGGTCAGGGGGCTAGCAGTGCTTTCTTTTGCGGCGGATGACAACACGCCTTGGTTGTCCACTCCAAGTCTTCTAAAGGAGAAACTCTGGGCTTACAGGGCAAGCCTCCTGCCATCTCCCCCGTAATTCCACTCTTGAAGCCAGGACCCAAGTGTCCACCCAAGCCCAGTCTGGCGTCACTGGGGGGGAGGTTGACGTCAGGTGGGGCCCCAAGAGAGCTGGAGGAAGGGACAGGGTAGAAACACCTAATGATGACCCCCCCCCTTCCCCAGAGGCAGAGCAGTTAGCTAGCTAAGGACCCCTCCCTTGAAAGGCCAAGCCTTCCTCCCTCCCCCAACCCATGTTTCCAGATGCTGGTACTCCCAGGAGAAGAGAAAGGGGCACAGTTTGTCTCCTTTGCTCGCCTACCTGTCCCCCCTCAAGTTGCCCTGGGCAACTGCTGTCTTCACCCTGGAAACAACTTTGGTCTCTGGCAAGACCCTCTTTCTGGTCCCTGGCGGAGACTGCTTCTATGCCCTACACTCAGCAGTCATTGCCTGCTCCTTACCTGGGGTGGTGGGTCCTGTGGGGGATGAAGGGAGATAGGAGCCCTCTGATCTAAGGGAAGAGGGAACAAAAGAAAGGAAAACACTACATCACATCTCCCTTACCACATCCTTTAAAAGTAAATGTACAAATTTTGGGAAAATCTGTTGAAAGCCAGTTTTGGGGAGACTCATTGGGGGGGCACGTTTTGTTTGGTTACAGAATGAGAGTGGCTTCACGCTGGAAGATATGAGGGTGTCGTTTTGGCCAGAATCTCTTGCCACTGCAGGACCAGTCTTAGGAAAAGGGTGGTTTGGGAGTTGTGGGGCCTGATGACCACTCCCATGTTAAAACCTTCAGAATCCAACAGCCTTCCTGCAAAAGCGCCCTAGCTAGGGACAATAGAGGCTAATTTGCATCTAATTTGCATGCTCTTCATTACCAAGCAAAATGCTCTGATAGCAAGCACCCTCATCCCCTTATTTCCAGAAAGCAAGCCTTGCTGCCCTCCCACCTAACCTCTCACACTAAGGACCCCCAACATACGCTCACTTTAAGCTGGGTTAGTCCAGCCTCTAAAAACACTTGGTTGGCCTTTTCCTTGGCCTACTAGACTCGAGTATGATACATCCTTAAGAGGGCTTCCCATAGCTGTTTGGGGGAGCAACATCTGGGTGGCTCCTATTCAATCCCTGGCCTAGGGACAGGCATTCTGTGACCTGGAGAAATCCCAAGGAGAGACCTGGCCACTCTCCTTTCGGGTCCTCCCCTTGAAAGAAAGATGAAACAGCCCCCTTCTTTCATCTTAGCCCGTGCAGCCACCTCTGGGGAGTGGCCGAGGTCATAGCCGGTGTCTAGAAAAGCTGGGGAAGGAATGGGGAGGCCGGCCGGGGACAATAGCAGGAAGCCATAGGCATGGTCGCCAGCCCCAACCCACCTTCCTTAGAAGGCTCAGGGGTGCGCTGAGCCTCAAAACCCTTTCACCCTACCCTTGGCTCTCAATCCCAGGCTTTGTACTTAGCCTCCCTCCCTCCCACCCGCCCCCAACGCGATAAACCAGGTGTCTGGAGCTTCGAGTGCGCTTAGCGTGAGGTAGGCCTGGGGCCAGGGGCTCGACGTGTTTCCCCCTCACTGGATCGGGGCTCCGACGAGGGGCGGGTAAGCAGCGTCTGGGCCGGGACCCGGTCCCAGAGCCACGTTAGCGAGAGGAGGGGCTGGAGGGGCCTTCAGGCGCGGATGAGAGGGAATGGGCTCTGGGGTTGGGGAACAGAGGCGGGTCTTCCAGTCCAGGGAAACAGAGGTTGAGGCTGGGAACAGCCGAGGGCGGGCCCTAGGCCCGCGCGAAGCGGGTAGGTGAGCTGGGATGCTATCGCCAGGCCCGCTCTCCTCCGTAGAAGACCAGCCTAACAAAGCCCCGGGCGGAGTTGGGGTGAAGCGTGGAGGTGGGCGCGGGGACTGATGCTTCTCCGCGGTCCCACTCCTGGACTCTTTGCCCAAGCCGACCCCTCCCCCTGGGAGTGCTCAGACTCCAGCTTGCACAAGGACGGCGAAGCAACCCTGACACCAAAGTCCAGAATGACTTAACCCCCTTCCCATGCCCGCGGGAGCATCGAGGAGCTCTACTTCTCCACAGGTCTCGGAGCCTCAGTTTCCCGCGGGGGAGGCAAGGTGCTGGGCTTTCCACCCTCTGCATCGTGCGTGCCTCAAACAAACAAACAAACAAAAACCCCTCTTTCGTGACCCCCAATCTTGCGGGACCGAACTGAGACCAGTGGGAAAAGAAGCCTACAGCCTGCGCCCAGCAGTGCAGCTGGGCTCGGCCGCGGTCGCCTCCTCCTCCACGCACCCTAACTCCGCTGACCCTTTCTCTGCCAAGGCACGCTGGACTCACTCGGGTCCCCGTGACACTCAGAAGCTTGACCCCTCTTGTGGCGCTCCTGCCCCTCCCTGAAGCTACACCCCTACCCCAAGGTACTTGCTCGGAGATCCGGGTCAGCGAGGTCCAGGGAGCCCCCGGCGGCTCCTTGCTCCGCGCCGCGTAGAGTTCGCAATCCGTGCTTGGGGCTCGGGCGAGATGCGACGAGAGTCCCGTCAGAGTGGTGCTTCGATTTAGGCTCCAGGGCGCTGTCAGGTGGCGGGAGCCTTAGGTGCGAGTGCAAGCCCCTACCCTCGCCGCAGATCCGCGGAGGAAAACAATGCGACCGCCCGGAGGTCTGGGCTCGGCCCCAGCCGCCCCGCCCGCCTCCCAGCCGGACCCGCCTCCAGCCCGCCTCTCGGTCCCTGCGACCAATAGAATCCCCAGCTGCGGGCTAGACCCCGCCTTCTCGCCACCTCTCCACCAATAGTACTGCAGGGGGTGGGGCGCCGAGCGCACGGCCCACCCAGAGCTAAACGGAGAGGGTGAGCAGGAGACCAGAGTCAGGCTGGAGATGGAAAGAACCACGGCCAGTCGCTGAGACTCGGACACAAGACACACACACACAGACACACGTACAGGCTGACAGAGAAGAGGTCCTGTGCAGAAGTGTCACAAACAGGAAGGAAGACAACCGGAGAAGAGAGACAGGAAACCAGGGGGCCTCAGCTGGGCTGGGCTGTCAGAGGCTGCGCGATACTTCCTCACTTCCATCAGCGACTTAGGCGACCCTGCTCTCTAGGGACCCTCCCGCCTTGTCCCTCCGCATTTCTCCTTGCTAGGCTTCTTGCCTGCATCTTTCCTTTTTGCGTCCCCATGTGCTCTCTCTGGCTCGCGTTCATCCTGACCCCAATAAGAAGGCCTTCATATAGTTTTGGGGGTGGAGGCCTGAGAATGGAAAGTGTCCTCCAGTTTATCGTGTGCCCATCGTCTCCTCCCCTCCGGCTTCTGCCGTCAGACAGGTCAGCCTTGAGCCACCATGCCGGGAACTAAGAAGTCTGAAAGCTAGGGGGCTGGCAGTCAGGAGACAGTTGGTTGACAAAAGAGGACAGGTAGGAGGGCTGAAGCGCAAAGCCAGGTGGAAACCAAGACTAACTGATTCAGAGAAATACGGAGACATGAAAGGGAGAGAGTGAACAGCTGCCCTAACCCCATGAATACAAGATTAGTGTGCCCCACCTCCTCAAAGGGCCCTTGACATCCTTCAAAACAGCAAATCTGCTCCTTGCCCCCATACCCCAAATAAAGGGCCTTTGATTCGGGAAACGCCAGTGAGGAGAAAGAATAAGGCGACTTCAGACAATACTGCTTAGCTTCCACCTTGGCTTTGCCTGATAAGATTTTTTCTTGTGTGGGGCTGGAACAAAGGATATTTTCAAAATTCCCTGGAATGTAGGTGGCTGGAAGACATTGGCATTCTAAGATAGTGTTGTCTGAGCGGCACTTCCACCCACAGCTTGGTCTCTGGACTGGGGGGGGTAGGGGGGGGAAATGGAGTTACCAAATTCTACACCAGCCTTAACTGAATGGGGGACCGAACAGAAAAAATACATTGCCAGCCAGACTGTGTTGTGCACTGAATAAGATTCACACACAGACATGGACAATAAGAGTCAAGACAGGCGCAGGGATTTAAGGTCAGGGGAAGCAATGAGATAAACAGAATGAGAAAAGAATAATATCCACACACAGGATTAACACCTGAGAGATCTTGGATCCAGAGTGATTTAGCAGACGGTAAAACTAGGAAACATAGGCCAGCAAAATGGCTTGATGGGTAAAAGCTTTATTTCAAAAGCCTGAGGACCTGAGATTAATACCCAGAACCCATGGTGGAAGGATAGAGCCAACTCTCACAAATTATCTCTGACTCTCACACATGCCGTAACGTTTACACACATCACACACATAAGCAACAGTGATAAAAAAAAAAAACACTAAATAAAAATAATAATTAGGGAAGGGCATAGTGGCTCAGGACATAGTAGCTAAAGCCTTTAATCCTAGCACTTGGGAGGCAGAGGCAGCCATTTTCTGAGTTCAAGGCCAGCCTGGTCTACATTTAAGAGTTCCGGGACAGCCAGGGCTACACAGAGAAACCCTGTCTTGAAAAACAAAAGAAAGAGAATTAGAGAATGTTCTGAAAACTGTAAAGACGTCTTAGGAGAAAGATAAGTAAACATGTACAGTTTTAAATGTTTCCTAGATTCTAGATGGGACTTGGATATTCAAATATGGACTTGCTGGATAGGTTAGCATATATGGATTTAAACATAATTCCATAAAGTTTTAAAAATGATCAAACCTCAGTTTAATACAATAAGTATTAAGCAACTCAAACACAATTTACTGTGGCATATTATCTCAGTCTGTAAAAGTATGGGAAAATGGCATAGTGACAGCCACCTGCTCCCAAGCCTCACAACCTGAATTCAGTCCCTGAGATCTACGTGTTAAAAGAAAAGAATCAACTGGTGCAGGTTGAACTCTGACTGCCACAAAGGCGCCATGTTGCTCACAGTCGAACGAACACACACACACACACACACACACACACACACACACAAAGTAAAAAAAAAAAAATTGGGTGCCTATGCCCAGCTATAATAAAACATTTTACAAGAAAGTTAGCGACCAGTTGGGCGTGGTGGCTCATACCCGTAATCCCAGCACTCAGGGAGGCAGAGGCAGGTGAGTTCGAGGCCAGCCTGGTCTACAAAGTGAATCCAGGACAGCCAAGGCTACACAGAGAAACCCTGTCTGGAAAAAAAAAAATAAAGGCTGGGGTGTGGCTCGGTTGGTTTGGTAAGGTGCATGCAGAAAGCCATGGCTCCAGCGCCGGCAGAGTGAGGGAGCTGGTATCGGTGTTGGTAGCCTCTACCGTATCCCAACACTTGTTAAGTGGAGGCAGGAAGAGCAGAGGCTCAAGATTACCCGTAACTATATATCTGAGTAGAACAAGACCTATATTTACTAAGAGATTAGTAAGCAATACCAGGACTGGAGAGATGGCTAACTGGTTGCTCTTTCAGAGGACTGGAGTTCAGGCCCCAGCACCCTTATGTTGGTTCCAACCATCCACAACACCAGCTACAGGGGATCCAGCACCTTCTTCTGACCTTTCTGGGCACCAGACACACACTCAAGGAAACACTGTTTCACACCAGGTGTGGTGGCATACATCTTGAAACTCAAGCACAGGGGAGGCAGAGGCAGGAGGATCTCTGAGTCTGAGGCCAGCCTAGTCTACATGAAATCCAGGATCGCAAGGGTTACACAGAGAGATGATAGAGCCCATCTCAAAATAAATGAATGAAAACCAATTCGACAAAATAAAAATACTCATGCACATAAAAAATTTTAAAACTAAATAAATTTCAAAAGTAATACCAAAAGCTGGCCATGGCAGTACTGTCTAGAAATCACACAGGTGGAGTCCCGCAGAGGATTTCAAGGTCATCTTAAACACTTCTTGGTTTGCAAGAAAAGGTATTGGATACATTTTAATTACTTTTTTTTTTTTCCAGTGGTGAGGAAAGAAACTCAAGGCCTTGATAACATGCTAAGTAAACATTCTGACACTGAATTTTATTCCCTGCTCATTGCAGATATTTTATCTTGAGAGACAGGGAACTTTGATGGGAGTCTGCCGGAAGAAAGGAGAAAATGTTCCTAAGAGAGACATCGTTTAAAGAAAAGTTTTTTTCTTGGTAAGCTTGGAGGCTGAAGAGTGAACAGCAAAAGGTCCTTTGAGGCTCATGGGTGCGAAGGACAATGGTTCTGAGTAGAGGAAAACAAAAAGGAACTGGTGACAGAGGCCTCTAGCACCAGGCGGACTGGCTAAAACAATATGGAAGGAGTGGGGTGTATTTTAAGTTCTTTAGTAAGGGATTGACTTGTCAAGGTCTCTTGCTCTTTTTGTTGTTATTAAGAAAGAAGATAGGGCTGGAGAGATGGTGGATAAGAGAACTATTGGCTCCTCTAGAGGTCCTGAGTTCAATTCCCAGCAACCACACGGTGTCTCACAACCATCTGTAACTCCAGTTCCAGAGGATCTAATGCCCGCTTCTGATCTCTGTGGGCACCACATGCACATGGCGTACATACATGCATGAACGCAAAACATTCATCCACATAAAATAAAATACAGACTTTTTCTTTTTTGAGGCAGATTCTTCAGACAGAGCTTTGGATGTCCCGGAGCTCACTTTGTTGACCAGGCTGGCCACGAACTCACAGAGATCTGCCTGCCTCTGCCTCTGGAGTGCTGGGATTAAAGGTGTGCACTACCATGCTGTATTGCTCACAAGTTCCCATCTGGCACAGAGCCAGCACACAGCACGTCTTAACTTGTCTCTCAGGCTTCCAGAATTGTGCCCGTGTACATGTACACACATGAGCCAGGCTCCGTGTGAAGGTCAAAGCTCGTTCTTTCCTTCCGTCTTGCTGAGGCAAGGTCTCTCTGTTTCCTCTGCTGGGTTGTGTGGTCCAGGCTTAGCTGACAGGATTCTCCCGTCTCCACAGCTGCCTTGGGTGTGTGGGCTCCGGGATGTGCCTCTGTTTCTGCACCCTAACCCTGGATCAGCAGGATCCTGTGGCTACGACACCTCTCCCACTGCCCTGATCACCTTCAACTCCTGATCCTTCTGCCTCTGCTTACCCATGCCAAGTGAATTGGTATGAGCTGTTAACACATTAGCTGAGTAAATATTTTTCCTACTTAGGAACATAATTCTACATCTTTATTTATTTGAGACCGAGTCTTGATTTGTTGCTCAAACTGACCCCAGATTCCTAGGAAGATTTGTTTTGTTTTAATTTATCTATTTTTGTTTTATGTACATTGGTGTTTTGACTATGTGTATGCCTATGTGAGGGTGTCAGATTCCCTGAAACAGGAGTTGCAGACAATTGTGAGCTGCCTCGTGGGTGCTGGGAATTGAACCTGGGTGGGTCCATCTGGAAGAGCAATCGATCTTCTTAACCGCTGAGCCATCTCTCCAGCGCCTTCTCTTAAGCCTAGGTGGGTTTAAACACTCTTTCTGTCCCATTCGCCAGAGCAGCCGGGACTGCAGGGGCATGCTGTTGTATATTGAGATGGGTATAAGCTCCAAGTGTGACTTCTTTCCTTCTTCTGAGACAGGGTGTCCCTGTCCTTCATTTAGTTTTTAGATTTATTTTATGTATACGTTTTTTTTAAGATTTATTTATTATTTATACAGTGTTTTGCCTGCATGCCACAAGAGGGCACCAGATCTCACTATAGATGGTTGTGAGCCACCATGTGGCTGCTGGGA